GGCCGCGGGCGAGGAGGCCCGGGGCCCAGCAGCGAGCAGCCAGCACGGGCCCGGAGAAGAGCGAAGAGGGCCGCAGGCGGGCCACGACGCACCAGCATGTCGGCCCTTGGGGCAAAGGAGGCGTCCGGAGGGCAGAAGCCAGGCCGGCAGCAGGAGCCCGCGTGGAGGCCTGGCAAGCCTGGGAGGCAAGCCCGACTGCACGCCACAGCCCGGAGCAGCAGGGGCAGCCCGGAGTGCAGGGCAAGGGGGCCAGTGGGCTGCCTCGGGGAGGCTCCAGGGCAGTGGACAGAGGCAGTCCAGGGCCAGCCATGCAGCGTGGCCTGGACCTAGCCAGAAACTAGGAGGCCCAGGAGAACCAAGAGCTGCAGGTCTCTGCTGGACAACAGGGCGGAGAGTCCCCAGCCCCACAAGGCCGGGCTCCGTGCTGGGAATGCGGCTCCAAGGCCGGGAGGCATCTGGGAGGCGGGGGCCACCCCTGTCCGGCGCCTCGCAGCAGTCTCCAGGACAGAGATGGCCGCTAAAGCCAGCCCAAGAGGACTGGAGGACGATGGTGACACAGAGGAGGGGCCTGGCTTCTAAGGGGGCGAGGAGGGGCAGCCAGGAAGCCGAGAAACACCAAAGGGGCCAGCGGATCGGGGGCCACAGCAAAGCCACTGAGCTCAGCTGCAGGTGACAAGGAGCCTGTGGGTGCCCGGAGCAAGAGAACTGACCCCGACCTCCGCGTCCTGCTCAGTCCCGCCACGAGGGGCCCTTCCACCCCGGCCACCCCACCTCAACCCTGCCCAGAGCTGGAAACAGGGCGTCCACCCCACCTACTGTGGCCACTGCCGCCAAGAGGGGCCTGGGGGAGAACTAACTCTGGAACCAGGCTCAAAGCACCACCGTGGACTTGCGGGACCAAGAGTCACCTGGTGGCTGAGGCCATGAGATGAAAAACACGGGGTGCGGAACCCCTCCTGCATGTGACCGGGGTGGGGTCTCAACAGGGGCAGCAATTAATGGGGACGGAAAAGACTCAACGATTATCTGCAGACGACCAGGAAAGAGCCCAATGGACCCTAAGGCTGTTTGAGGTGCGAATCTACTTCTGTCCCTCCCCAAAGCAGGAGGTGCCAGGCTGTGGATTCTGTGGTCACCCCATGAAGAGCTGGCCAGGGTGCAAGTGAGAGGACAGCCCCCACCAGAACCCCTAGTTCTGGAAAGCTTTTTCAGATCCCTTAAATCGGGAGCCTCTGGGTCCCGATGCAGTCGAGCCACGGCTCTTCCCTCCAACCTGAGGCTGGTCCCCAGGGCAGGGCGGGGGGACCCCAAGGTCAGGGAGTGTCTTCCGAACCACAGCCAGGGCCCAGACCTGGCACCCAGGTACCTGCTTGTGAAGGTTGAGGCTGTCGATTTCGGAGAGGACCCAGCCGACACTGCCGTCCCCGCCACAAACCAGAATCCGGAAGGTGTCGAACTTCTGGAACAGGCGTAAGCTGCAGGGGAAAGAGAACGTGGCCAAGGAAATGCCTTTCCGGGGACAGCCGACGGCCAGGCCCTCTGTGCTCCTCACGGCTGACCCTGCCCCCACCCAGGCCAGCTGGCCGGGACCCTGGGCGCCTGGGCTGTCTGCTGGACTCGCCACCTGCGGGCAGTGCCTCCCACAGGCCGGCACCCAGCTCGCCTTCCTGGCCGCGCGTCCTCGGGCGATGGACGCATGCCCCTCCGAAGGCTCTCTCCCACCTCCTTCCCGCCGGCATCTCAGTCACTCAGTGTCTCCTCAGGCCACCTACAGCCTCCTGGCCACTCCTCCCGCTTCCTGCGGGGCCATTACCACACTTTGGCTTCAGGGGCCATAGAGAAGCAGTGGCCTGGCCAGCACCCCGCATTCCTGAGGCAGGGCCGGTGCCTAGGTGCCAGAGCTGCCTTGCCCTGGGTCTCCTTCCTGGGAGACTGGCAGCAGCACCCTTGACGCGAGGGGCCAGGCCAGACCTGGGAGCCCAAGCGCCGGCCCGGGTGCTGCCCTCACAGCCCCTATGAGAAGAGCCCGTAGCCCGCTCGACGCCTTCTTCGCAAGTTCCGACTCACGCTACCAGCGGTCTGGGCAGTGCCCAGCTCTGAGAAAGTGGCCCCTTGCCCCAAGGAAGGCTCCCCTCCATCTCCTGGGCAGCAGCTGCCCACGCTCCACCCAGTGTTGCCACCTCTGAACGCACGCAGAAGCGCCTCTCCCCGAGCACCAGGAAGCAGAGCGCCAGGGTAACCCCGGGCTCCCGAGGTGCTGACACCTTCCGGAGACTGGCCGCCCTGCCCACGGGTCCTCTGTCTGCCACCCCGCCGCACACACACAGGACCTGGCTGTCCGCAGCCCGCGCCAGGCCCCCTGAGCTGCAGGGTGAGCAGGCGCCGGCCTCCGGGGTAAGCGGGTGGCGGTTCTGGGGCGGCAGGGCTTCCCGATGCTGGCCTGTGTGCTCCTTCGAGAACACTGACCTCTCTGACCCCGTCCTGGCCGTAAATTGCAAACGTGAAGGCACAGCTCTCGGCTTTGTTACAAACCCCCGGATCGGGCTGCTTCCAGGAACGAGATGAACCGAGCCAGCGCCCGGGGGCCGCGCCTGCGGCACAGCACACCCACACCAGCTGGGGGCTGGAGGCCAACCCCTCAGCCCACTGAGCAGCCTGCTGGCTAGTGGCTGGTGCCCATGGGGCGCCGCCCCCGGCGCCGGCCGTGCTTCGGGAGGCGATTCCTGCATCGCCGGGTCCGGACACGGCCTGCGCCCTGCAGCAGCTGCAGGACAGTGCTCGCCTGCGGAACAGACCATGAGGCGCGTGCGGCCCCGCCACAGCCGCCGTGAGTGGGGCGAAGCAGCACCTGGCGGAGCCGGGTTCTCTCAGCTCCTCACAGGTGCCCCAGTTCACGTCCCAGCAGCACCCGCACCAAGCCCAACGTGCCCCTAGGAGGTGCCCTGCTGCACGCGGGAGAGCAGCCTGCTGGCCCTCGGCTGCCCCCCCCCCTGCGCTCCCAGGCCCGCAGAGGGCGCAGCCCTGGAGCCACACCTCAGCCCCGGCTGCAGAGAAGCAGCGGCGGCCGCGCCCGGCCCCGGCTCGCACGCCCACGTGTCCCTGGGGCCGGCAAGCTCGGCGCTCAGCACGGAGGCGCCTGCAGCACGCGGCCTCGGAGGCCGGCCTCGCGCCCGAGCCAGGGCGAGACGCCCAGGACCCAGGCACCCCGAGGCTGCGGGGGCGCCGGGGGGGGGGGGGGGGCGGTCGGCAGCTCAGAGGCCCCATTTCGAGCGTCCCAGGGCTCCAGATCTTCTTTAAAAACAGCGCGATCACTCCCTTCGAGTGACACCCAGGAAGGCGCGCGCACGAGCCCTACCCGAGATGCGGGCCTCCGTTCATGAGGTCGAAGACCTGGGCGGGGTTCAGCAGCTGCTTGAATCTTCTGAGGAACTTCACCCCCTGGTTGTCCCCGCTTTTGGAGTTGACAAAGACCAACAGTGGGCTGGTGCAGGACGGAGGGCACGTGGCTTTCCAGAAACCTGCGTGTGAGGTGGGGAAGGACAGGAAAGCCTGGAGGCGAGCCACGCTGCACGCGCCGAATGCAGACGCCGCCCCGAGCCAGTCTGCACCGCACGGCCGGGGGCCCAGCCCCACCGCATGCCCCAGGTGCTGAGTCCCGGGGGGCCCTGCTCCCCGACCGCTCCCTCTGGAGAGCGAGCACCCCACCTCCGCCTTCCTGGGGACACATGAGCAGACACATCACCCACCTGGACAGGTGCACACGTGTACTGTGCAGTGCTGGCTGCCGCCTGACCCCGGGTCAGACCAGCCGACAAGGGGGCAGACCTCCACGGTCAGCTTCTGCTCAAGAGCTGGCCACGCCCCTCACCTCCAAGCCCTACAGGTGCTCAAAACCTCAGATCCAGGCAACGACTGCACACGACTCTGCCCCCCCTCAGCATCTTCAGCACCACCCACCCCGGGGCGGTGGGGCAGGATGCAGCCGCGAGGGGCCACCCACCGTCGGAGTCGATGCTGTTGAGAGCGGTGGGCGGGATGACCGACACCTTGCAAAGGCCCAGCGGGCACTTGGTCGCCAAAGAGTCTTTGCAGGACGTGTGGACCTGAAAGAGAACGCGGCCCGGGTAACTTCCCCGCGGCCCTGGGGTGCGGGGCTGGGGGGCAGGCTCAGGCCGGGGGCAGGCACGGGGTGCGGGCGGGCGGGCGCTCACCATGGCCTTGCACCAGAGGCAGCGCCAGTCCTGCAGGCGCAGCACGCTGCCACAGGTCTTGTCGCACACGGTGCACTTGGCGCTCACGGGCAGGTTCCCCTCCAGCCACTGGTGCGGCATGGAGATCTGCAGGCCGGGCAGAGGGGGCTGTGGCCTGGCACCGCAGCGCCAGTCCCGGGGCGACGCGGGAAGCAGCGCCCAGCAGCAGCCCGGCCCCGTCCGCCCCGCAGCAGGGAGGCCTGGGCTGCCCTGCCGCCTCCCGCCCGGGCACGCCCTGGGGAGGCGCAGGGCGAGAACCCGGGTGAACGGGGGCGGGAGGGGCCTCCCGCCAGTGCCGGGGGGCCACACACGCACCCCGTCCTCGTCCTCGATGATGTCCTTGCCGATGGAGGCCAGCGTGGTCCACTTGCAGTCGTTGCTGGCGCGCACGGCACACCGTTTGTGGGCCTTGAACTTGCACACTGTGGGGAGGGGCACCGGGACCCTCATGGCTCGTGCCGGCGGCCCAGGGAGCCCCGTTTCTCGAGAGCTGTGACCCTGTGCCAGGAGCAGGGCACCTCGTGCAAGCACGGAGGCCGGTGGGGAGACGGGCGCAGAGCAGGGACCCCAGGCTTTTCGGAAGGGGCCTCGCAGGCAGGCCTCACCCCCCAACTACAGGGCCGTGCCTTATGACTGGATCCTGCCCCACGTGTCCCCTAATTTTCTGTGTCACAAAACAGTCGTTTTCTTTTGATTTACCCAACCACTTGTAAACGCGAAAACTGCTTGGAAAGCCGACGGCTACTGGGCCCAGACAGCAGGTGGAGGTGGGCGGGGTCGCGGTCACCTGCCTCTGGCCCCTTGGGGGGCCGGCGTCTAACCCACCCTTGCAGACAGCGGCAGACCGCTGAGGGCTGGCGCTCCCTGTCCCGTCTCTCCTCCCCCCTTACACCGTCCCCTCCTACTTTGGTTGGCCAAGGACTCCTCAGGAGGGACAGTGAGTGGGGTGGGGCTGCAGGCGTCTGGGGTGTCTGGATTCCGGGCACCCCCCCACCCGGCCGCCGCCCCCAGGAGCCGCCTCCGCACCTTCACAGGACAGCCCGTGGGACGTGACCCCCGACAGGGCCTCCCGACACACGTTGCAGTAGGTGGGCCTGGCGTGGGAACAGGCGTACCAGTTGTGCGTCCCCGAGAAGTGGTCCATGCTGTACTGGGTGGGCTGAGACGGGCGCTAGGTCAGTCCCCCCGCGCGGACGGGGCCAGGCCAGGACGGGGGCAAGGGCGGGCAGGCCGCTCGGCCGGCGCGGCGCTTCGGGTGGGGCGCGCCTTCACCTCAAAATGCTCCCGGTTCTGAACGGTCTTCAGGGCTGCGATCCAGTCTTCCATTTCCTTCCTGTTGTCAGCGCAGAGGATAAGTCTCCTGCATGGGGTGATGACCTGGAAAGAGAACAGCAGTCTTGTGGTGCGAGGCAGCCCCGTGGCACCCGAAAACCGACCACCACAGCTTCTACGAGGAAAGTTATCACGGCTGTCACGGTCGCAAAACCCCAGAACAGCCTCAAACCCCAAGGCAGCCACATGCGTCCGCCCACCACCGACTGCAGGGACAGTGCCGCCCGCCGCCGGGATACGGCCGTGGGCCCCGGGACACTCCCCCCGAGGAGGGCGGCTGCGCGCCCCCGGAGCCCTCGGCACGAGCGGGAGCCAGCAGCCCGCGCCCGCCAGCGGGCCGCCACGACCCGCCGGAGTGCGAGGTCCAGGCTCCACAGAAAAGCTTTCAAACGTGCACTTCACAGAGTATAAAATGGCTAACGAGCACGAGGCTGCTGACCGCCAGCTGGCCGCCAGCCGCCCCCCCAGCCGCCGGCGAGCCCTCGAAGATGACGCCTGGGTCAGCGGGCTGCGGGAGACCAGTCCCCTCGGGTTCCTTGGGAGGAACCCCCGGAGACCTGCTGGGGATCATCCTGACACCTGTCAAAAATGAAGACATCACAACCTGTCAAGCACAGAGACCAACAGCGACGCGGATCCACAGCGCCAACGGACCGGGGCCAGTCCGCGACCAGGTCACCTGTGGCGGCCGCCCTGAGCCCTCCTGCCCTGAGGCAGCGCAGGCAGGCCCGCTCAGCTGTTCTCCAGAGACCCGTCCACGCCCCCGGCTCCCCATGTGACCGGCACCCGCGGGCCAGTGCCCAGGGGCCGTGCCCCCCCCGTCGAGACACCCCCCTGCAGCTCCGCAGCCCAGAAGCGCCGCAGTGTGGACACCAACAGCCTGCACCCCGGCTCCCTGGCCGGGGACATTCCAGGCCGCTGAAAACCTTCGGGGTCAAACAGCCACAGACGGGCCTCACACGCACAGGAGCGCCAGAGGCCTGGCTCCCAGCTTCTCCCACAACCCCGGCGGCCGCTGGACCCTGCCCCACTGGTAAGGCCATGCTGTCCCCCCAGGCTCTCCAGTAGAGGGGGGCCTTGCTGTCTCGTACTCGCCCATCTCGGAGCTTTGCATTAGGAACCCCCAGTTCACATGTCACAAACGCCCACAACGTTCACACCTTCCCTCAGCAGACGGCGGGGCAGGAGGTGGCGGCCCCCTTCTGAGGAGGGCACCGTGACACCTGCGCTCAGGAGGTGCGAGACCTGCCGCCGGGCCAAGCGGGCAGGAGGCCCCTCGCACAGCATGGCCCGTGGGAGGAAACAATGAAACTATTTCGCTCACTGAGTGGCCAGAGGCAAGGTGGGTGGAGAGGGGCCAGGGCTGTGCACGGGCGGCCGGGGAGGCCCCAGGGTCCGCAGTGCCGAGGCCTGGGGGTGGTGCTTGAAGAATTCGCAGCAGTAGCTGCCTGCCTGTAAAATCTCAGCACCCAGCTCCATTACTCGCTCCAGGGTGACTTTCAGTATTTGAACGTCTTTATCAGCACAATAATTACAGCTGCAGAAAGGCAGTTAAGTCGCGGAACTCGGGCTCCTGTTGGGGCCATGCGGCAGGACACTTAGAGAGAGCACTGAGGTTCTATCCTAGGCTTTGATGCGACTGCTCCCGAGGGGCCCTCTGTGAGGTGAGGCCTCGCACCACCCCAGGACCCAGGCACGGCACCAGGCGGACCCTGGACACCCTTCCCGCACGCCTGAGGAGGCAGCTCCGGCTGCCTGGTGATGGGCTCCACTGGGCAACGGTGCAAGTGACGAAGGATGTCACCTCCTCGGCCGGCTACTGTCACGGGGGCAAACACTGGCCGACAGGAAGTGCCCAGGAACCTGAGTCCCCCCCCTTTTACAGCCTCTCTGGTTCTGGTTTGCAGAAACAGACTCAGGCCCGAACCCCACTGG